ACACACACACACACACACACACACACACACACACTTAAATGTGCGTTGGGAAGAATTGATTTAAAAACAGAACACTTAAATATGAGATAACTGGTCGTGGTTTCCTTCTCATTATTGTGTCTGCAGAGGAACAGTGAGGGTCTAATGATTACAGCCTTTTTTTCCAGGGCCGGAGAGGACCTCACTCTTATTACAGCTCGGCACACAGGATCAGAGAGATTCACCTGCAGTCTGTGTTCATATAGCACTTCTCTAGTCTTTTTTGCCATTCACACATTCATACAGTGCATCCATGGGCAGCACTTTTTCTATGAGATTCAATATCTTGCCCAAGAACAATGGGGAAGATTGAACCGCCTACACTCTGGTTAGAGGATGACCCGCTCTACCCCTGAGTCACAACGACACCAGTGGCCATGAATCAACATTTGTCTGCTCCATGCTACAGTCGTCTGAATGAAACAAAGCAACTGGGAATGTCGAGCAGAGGCAGCAGCTCCCCTTTGCCTCTCGCAATCATAAATCAACGTCAGTCAAAATCGATACAGATCAACGTGAAATCCGTTCACCTCCATTTCCTCTTTTTTGCCAGAGCTGTTAATGAATTGTAAATCTTTGGCCTGCAGCGGAGCTTGACTCAAATTCCTGATTTTCACTTGTTTATCTTGTTGACTTAAGCCAATCTGGGGTTCTTACATTTGTGTTTGCAATGATACAGCTGAGCTGGATTTACAGCGGCCGAGCTGAACTAGTTTCGCTGACACAGATCTAAAGTAGGTGATATGCAGTTTAGTGTTTTCTGGCGGTCAATAATTACCCTGATTTCTGAAGGCAAACACTCCTTCACTGTGTCTCTATGTGTTTATTTTATATCTACGTGTGTGTGCAGGGACAGCACTACCAGAAAATAAAGATCCTCTCAAAAAATGAACACAAACAATGGACCATGGGAAAAATACTGTGTATGGCCTTGTTAGACCCTCCCACAAAAAGTAGGCCGGCCCACCTCTCTCCAGCTCGGTGATAATCAGTCCAGAGTTCACCTGCAGTTTACTCCGATTCCTCCCAGGTTTCTGTTGAGCTATTTCCGTCTCTTTCTCTCCTCTGAAACCGTTGTGTTTTCTGATGAGACCTTCCTTGGGAGGCAGGAGAAAGACTGATTGCGGATTGCCGAGCCTGATTGAGGTTTCATGCGGGGATGACAGAAAATCACACAATCTGCAGAATTTAGCCGTCAACACTTGGACACTCTTTACAAGAGTCTGAGGGAGAGTGATGAGACCAGCTGAGAAATCAGTGGTGCCTTGACTTCAGTGGAGTCGTGGGGGATTGGTGCTATTTTGCTCCCTCTTTCGCCCCCAGCCAATCAGAGGTGGAGCTGATTGCGAGGACTGTGGCTTTCTTCACATACAACACATGGGAAGCAGCTTTAACACAACTATATGAGAGAGGTCATTTTCTGGATGTGTTTTAAAGAACAGTTTCTAGGAGGTAATGTCCATTTAACACTCACTAAGTAGGAACATGAATGTATGTAATGTGTTTAACCATCATCTTTAGTCCTTATTTATTCACTTTAATCAAAACAAATGGAAATCTGTGTGGTGTTATTTCTGATTGCACCCTAGGTATGAGTAATCATTCCCACATGTGTTATCAGTAGCTTTATGACCATATTGACCTAACCAGAAGCCAACAGTGTTCTAACAGTGGCAGTAAACTCCAGACAAGATGCAGCCATGGAACTCTACAGGTTCAGGGGATCTGCAGGGGAACAGCAGTGACACCGGGCTTGGCAACGTTGAGCAGGTCCTGGTTCCAGTATTAGACGCAATGATTCTGGTGCTAGGGGTCGGGGGCCACTCTATGGTGATGGTGATCCTGTGTGGGAGGCGCAGGAGAGGAGTGGGACATGTTGGACCTTCTCCTCGCAGCTCCCTGACAGTCACAGGGACAGACACCCTCCTGGTGGCTCTGAGCTCTGCCGACCTGCTTTTGCTCTCCATGCTCCCCTTCCACACCATTGCCATAGCCATGCAGCGATGGCCATTTGGAAACTTAATATGTCGCCTAGTGAGTTTCCTGGGATCGGCCTGCTCCTCGGCAAGCGCCTTCACGCTGGCCACGCTGGCCACGTCGCGTTACCTGACTGTGGTGCACCCTGCGAGAGCTTATTCTCTCCTCTCCCCACGCCGGGTGTCATTAGCTGCTGTGCTCCTCTGGGTGCCGGCCTGCAGCCTGGCTGTCCCTCAACTGGTTTTTCACTCTGTGGGAACTCCAAAACGAACCCCAGATGGACTTGCTTGCTTTTCTTTCCTGTCCCACCGAGACCAGATGATCTATGGGTTGCTTCACTTTTTCATGGCGTTCTTGCTTCCACTCATCACGATCGCAGTGGCGTACGGCAGCATCTACATGTTCCTGTGGAGGAGTCGGAACGCTGGGAGGGCCCCGCAAGTGGAGCGCTACCAGAGCAAAGTGACGCAGACGTCGGCCATGCTGGTGCTGGCCTTTACTGTGTGCTGGCTGCCATCCTACGGCCTGATGCTGGACCTGCTGGTGGACAAACGCTCAGATGCCACTGGCGCCTCACCACGTTATGGCTCTTTCAGTGTGTTTGCACGCCTCATGGCGACTTCCTCGACAGTGATGAACCCCATCCTGTACGTGCTCATGTCCGAAAAGTTCAGACAAGACCTGCTGAGGCTTTTCAAGAGGGGGGGACAAAGAGCTAGTGGGGCTGTGGCCACGACCCCTGCCTGAAAAACTTGATAGAAGCGGAGTGGCAGAAATACTCATATCAACAAAATGATGATCAGCATTTGGAACAATACCTCTAAAAACTCTCACAGAAAGCCTGAACATCATGTACAAGATCAAACCAATTGTTTTGGGAGGTGCTGCTCTACAGGGACAGCAGCACAAACAATGTTGAATCATACATTCCTTGTAAAACAAACTCAAGTAAAGGAACTCTGGTCAAACATTAATGGTGCAGCTGTGTCTGGTTGTGTTGATACAAGGTGAATACAGCTCTGTGTGTCTCTGGGCTTGTTTATGTTTGTATACACTCTGTTCTCAAAACACAGATTGAAAAAATAAAGTTCTTTTTATGTAAACATTGGCTACAACTTCAGAATAAAAGTGTTTTCGATTCTTTGTTACTCACAAAACAGTGAAATTACCAGAAATGATAATAATGAAAGGGGGGAAGGAAGAGTGTGTCTGGTTAAAGAATGAGAGGAGGCAAAAAAAGGTTTACACAAACTTAAGATGTGGTAAAACTCACTCTCGACTACAGTCTTGCGGTCAGATCCATCATCGCTGATCTGCTGGATGTTGCCAAAGTGGATGTCACTGAAGAAGACGCGGTTAGCTCCCTTCCCTCCACCTCCTCTGTAGTCGAAAGTGAGTGCAATGACGTTCTTCATGTGCTCGGGGTCCTCAAAAGGTTTAATGGGTGCGTTCAGGTTGTTTTCATCTGACAGGTGGACGCTCTTTAGTATGGTGCGCTCTGAGTAAAGCAGGTAGCCATCGTAGTCTCTGCAGCTGAGGCCATCCTCAGCCAGCATGCCATGGGCGCATGCGCATGTGCGCTGCCCATTGCCACGGAAAAGACAGAGCTGCTGGCAGCCTCCATTTTTGTCTTTGCACACATTAGTTCCTGTAAACACATGACATTATTATAAACTACAGTTTTCAAATTCTTTTTTAAGTGAAAATGAAAACACAAATCCCTTTAATATTCAAAATAACTTAC